ACAATATACTGCCTTTACAATATACTGCCCCACAAACAAAATTAAAACAGGTCATAAACACCCGCAAATCAGGGCTGAGAAGGTGGCTCAGTGGTAGAGCATTTGCCTTGCATGCATGAGGCCCTGGGTTCGATTCCTCAGCACCACATAAGCAAAAAGAAAAAAAGCCAGAAGTGGCACTGTGGCTCAAGTGGTAGAGCACTAGCCTTGAGCTGAAGAGCTGAGGGACAGCGCCCAGGCCCAGAGTTCAGGCCCCACAACCGGACGCCCCCCCCCCCAAAAAAAAGACCCGTATGTGTATATATATAGAGATACAGACAGACACTGACAAGTATTGGTGGACTTGAATTAAAGCCCTGGATTCTCCCCTCCCCATCAAAGTTCTCCTTAACTGAAAAAAAAAAAAACACTACAGAAAAAATGCCCCTGAGGGAAGATATACAACAGCTTAGTTTAGCTATTAGATATTTAGTTGTTTATTGAAGATCAAGTACCAGGATTTATTCATTCCACTGTACACTGAATCCTAGAAATCTAAACCTAAGTATCACCTATAACTTTTGGTGCATGTGCGGGCTACTGAGGCTTGAACTCAAGACTCACAGGGTCTTTGGCTCTCATTTGGCTTTTTTCACTCAAGGCTGACTACCTACCACTTGAGCCATACCTCTACTTCTGCTAGTTAACTGGAGATAAAAAGCCTCACAAACTTTTCCGCCCTGGCTAGCTTGAATCCCAGGATGCTCAGGTCTTTAGGATTTACAGGCGTGAGATGGCACCCAGCCATTTCCAACTGGTAACTGAAGAAAGTCACAGGCAGGGACCATAGTTTCAAAGACACTATTGAATTTAAGTTACTAAATGTCTAGCAGTGTCCAAAAAATTACATGAGAGCAAGCATTGAAACTATTCTTTTTACCCAGACATGGTGGCATACACCTATAATCCTGTGGCTGAGAAGAAATATGGCAAGTACAAGGCCAGCCTGGGCCTGTAAGAACCTGTCTCAAAACAGAAAACATATTCATCATTTTAAAAGTGTTTTTTTAGGGCTGGGAAGGTGGCTCAGTGGTAGAGCGCTTGCCTTGCATGCATGAGGCCCTGGGTTCGATTCCTCAGCACCACATAAGCAAAAAGAAAAAAGCCGGAAGTGGCGCTGTGGCTCAAGTGGTAGAGTGCTAGCCTTGAGCTGAAGAGCTGAGGGACAGCACCCAGGCCCAGAGTTCAGGCCCCACAACCGGACCCCAAAAAAACAAAAAAAAAAAAAGTTTTTTTTAAAACGCATTCTTTTAGTGCTTAATACGACAGAAATTCTGGCAACTATTTCCCTCTCATTTTCTATAGCTGCTCTCACATTGACACTTTCTTTGCGCAAGCAACATTTATGGTAAAAACCCTTTGAATTTTCTCAGGCCCTGAACAAGGACAACTAGTTTATTTTATTCACTTTATTAATTTAGTAATTTTGAATTCAAATGATATAGTTCATGTATGGTTTATGAGTGAATTCAAATGACAATAAGACACAGGATCATGTCCAATAACATTATTTTTCATTCAAATAGTACTATTTTTCAGCGAGGACCCTGAAAATATAATCACCAGAGAATAGCCAAAACTACAATATTAACCACTGACTACTGTGCATCTATGTATTTGTTTTTACACCTTCATATTGCTAGCTGGAGGCTAAATCTCGACGTTTACGCATAGTGAAGCATTCCTTTCATCACGAAAACATAAAAACCTTAGCTCCTTTTCAATGAAGAAGCACTCATTGATGCTAGGGTCTTTTTAAAGTACTCATGCAGTGTTTTGTTCTTAACATATAATTTATGCCATGCTTAAAACCATGAGTCTTCAGCTACGTTATACATGTGGTCTGTAGCTCTAACAGAATTACTTCAATCACACACTTCCTAGAACACTGTTAATGAGTACTTTCTCCATTGCCCATTGATCTATTGCTGAATTTTATGGAAGCTACTGGCTATCCACTACTGTTGGGTAGGGAGGAAATGAGACATGTGCAGAAATCTCCTAAAAGGAATGCTAATATTCAAGATGTAATCGAATGTAACATTTACTATAATGTCACCCAAATCGCATCTTTAAAAACTACTAAAGTGACATGATTACCATTCTGGTGGTAATTTGTGAACTTGTCACAACTGTTAACATTTTAACCATGGCATCACACCATGTGCTAGACCAAACTTCAAGGGGGTATAAAATAAAACACAGGCATAAAAGTCCAAGCTTTACCTGAAACATCAGTTGTTATCGTAAGACATTTTAAAGACAGCTATTGGTACAAGTTTTGTGAGAGCAAAAACACTTTTCGGGGTCAGTATACTTTCAGTTAAAATTACAAGGAATCAGTTTTGCTTTGTCCATGTAGTATAGGTGCAAATACAAAGGAGCACCAGCGATTCACTTATTAAGAAGGAAAAACCTGACTCCTGATCAATTGTAAGGCTGCCCACAAGTGGCCACAAGGTTACCTCCACGTGAACTTCCTTTCCCAGGTGACCACAGCCGGCAGGCCCACGGCCCACGTGGTAACGACGTCAGGGCCCCCCACCCGGGAGGGGCGGGGCCGCGCCAGTCACGTGGGCCGCACGCAGCCGCCATCTTGCGGGGCGGAGGGGAGACGCCCCCAGGGCAGACCCCTCGCCACCGCCGGAGGGCCGGGAGGGTGCGGGGTGCTTTGTGCCCGGGTCCCCCAGGGCCCTCGGGATGGCCCCGCGCCTTCGCGCCAGGGACGCACAAGCCCCAGGCGCATCGCCGCGGACGCGGAGGCCCGGTGCGCCTGGGCAGCGGAGGCCGAGCAACCGCTGGGTGGGACTGCAGAGAACGAGCTTTAAATCAGCCGGCGCACCTGCAGCCCGAGTGACGGCTCGGGAGATCCGCTGGGACCCCCCGGGGCCAGGGCGAGCCACGGCCGGAGGCCTCGGGGTCACTAACGAGCACAGGCCTGGGGTTGGAGCAGCGAGGGAAAATAGAACCCCACACGGCTGCTGGACAAGCCCCAGCACACCCAGGGTCTAGGGCTCACCTTCAGCGTCTGCGGTAGTACGTGCACCCCTGACTCAGGGCCCCTCCGTTGACGGCCACAGCACAGGCCACTTTCTGACAAGGAATGGTGGGCCCAGAAATTCTGGCAGGGTCACCAACCTGCTTGACCTCTCCTCCCAGCCCTCGCTGACCGGCCAGAGAAGGCCACACACTGCAGTCAAGGTAAATCTACTTACTCGGATAGCACGAATCGCTCCCCTTCTCCCCTCGGTCTAATTGTGCTACAATACTCACATTATAAGCAAAATTTTAAAAAAGGAAAAAAAAATCTGAAATCAGTGAAGTACCCTGGCTGGAATGGTATGACTGGAATCGGAGGTTCCACAGTGCCACCCTTTCCTCAGACCCACATTCAATGTTATCTTTACTATACATAGACGGTTACAAGAAAGCGCCTAAAAATATTTACTCACTGTTCTAGAACTCGTGCTTTCTTCTGGAAATTTAATAGCTTTGCAGCAGATCTTTTCAGATATATTTGACTGAGTAGGCTGAGGGATGGAGTGGCTTTTTCCACTTTTACACACACACACATACTAGTAGTAGTAATAGGCACTGGAAGAGGGTAAAATTTCACGATCGACAAGAAAATGATGGGTACTAGCATTACTACATCTGAATTTGATTTAAAAAAAAAATCTATCCTGAAAGATGAGCTTATCACTTCATAGAAGCCTCAGAGTAAAAATGAGGGGCTCAGCCTAGATTTTCTCTGTCCCTTTCAAACCCTAGATACCTTAAAATCGACAGGTAATGATTCTACACCGCCTTTAGTGAAACACGATGCGAAATTTTAGTTCAGGGATAGTGAATGACAGCATATATATAAGTTGAATTAACTTTCAAGCAGGGAGGAGGGAATCCCCTTTCCCACTATGTATTCTGGAGATCATTTAAGTTGAAAAGCATGACATCCAAATCAATACCTTTCAAAAGATCCACACCAGTAAGTACTTAATGTACATAGTTTTTACTCTAGCCCAAACCTACTCCCCTCCTCTCCATTAAACTGTTATTCTCAAGGATTTTACTGGGCCTGGATAATTGCTTTCATGGCTCTGTAAAAATTCCTTACCGTTTGCGACAAGTGCCTCATCCGGATTCTCATCTACGACATTTTAGGGGTTAAATAATAACTGTTAAACGACATCAATGCCCATAGTAAAGGATCAACCGAGTACTAGGGACTAGGCTCCTGGAGACAGCTGGTTGAGCTGGAGGTGGAGCACTGGAGCAGGCCACCCCAGAGCTGTCTTTCTGACCCAGACACCTGCATCAGTACTTAGGTAAATTCGCAGGTCTCCACATCAACATCTTTCTGGGGAATATTAATGCCTCTTCATGGAAACCAAAAGATCCATACGACCCGTTTTAAGTTTGGCACACATCTGGCATTTTAAAAGGCTCCTTTCTGCCAAAGACAAGGACAGCAGGCCTGTTGTGTACCTTTTCCAGCAGTTCATCCAAGATCAGGCAAAGCTTTAAGACCTGAGACCCAGAAAGGGAACGAAGTGGCCGAGGCCAGGCTCCGGGCTGGCTGACAGACCGGCTCGCTAACATTTCCCTTTGGCCTGTAGGTAGTGCCAAGAAATGCCCAAAGCCAAGAATGTCCGGAGACCCCTCGCAGCGAGAAGAGCCCTGGAGCTGGGAGCTCCAGGTCCTCCGTGCAACTCCAGCAGGAAGGGTATTCTAGAGCATTCCGTTATGGCGGGTGTCTTTGCAAGCATGAGGTGGGGTGGGGAGGGCGAAGGTGGGGGTGGGGGGGTTGTTAAGCGGCCCAACCAAACGAAGATGAGGACTCGGACTGAGAGCCAACGCAAGGGAATTTCAGGGGCACCTGCGCCAGGCCGGGGACGAGGTCAGGGGGCGTCCGAGGGCTAGGCGAGGGGGGGGGGGGATGATGCCGCGTCGCGGCGCCTTACCTGGGGCCTGGAGCCCGCAAAGTTGCCCGGCTCCACCTCCGCGTCCTCGGCGACCCCGCGGAGCGCGTGACGGAGCCGCTCCAGGTGCTCCCTTAGGGTAACCCGCTGGTGGAAGGAGAAAGCCGGGTGCAGCGAAGCCATGGTGAACAGCAGTAGCAGTTCCTCCTGGGCCCGCGAGCCGAGCCCGCCGCCCGCCCCGGGCTCGGGGCCGCCGCCTTCCAGGCCCGAGCCGTCTTTTTCGGCGTCCGGCTCCGCGTCGCCCGGCTCGTCGTCCGCGCCGCCCCGCGAGCCCTCGCCCCGGGCCGCGCGCAGGCTCTTGAGCACCGAGTCCACTTGGGGCAGGAGGCGGTGCAGGCGGCCGGCGGCCTCCCGGTTCTCCGAGCCCAGCAGCGCCAGGTAGACGATGAGGCGCGAGCGCACGGCGGGCTCTCGGAAGTCGGCCAGCGGCCCCGGGTCCGAGAGGCCATTGGCCTTGGCCTCCGAGTCGCGCAGGTAGTGGTAGTCCTTGCGCGCCAGGTCCTCCAGGCACGAGCCGAGGAAGCGCAGCTCCAGCGGGTTGCACAGGTCCAGCAGCCCGCACATGAACTCCAGGCGCTGCGCCGAGCCCAGCACCAGCCCGAACCACTCGTACACCCGCTCCTGCTCGCGCAGCGCCGCCGCGGCTCCGCCGCCGCCGCCCGGCATGCCCGCCGCCCCCGCCGCCGGCCCGCCAGCAACAGGCGGCCCGAGCCCCAGGGGCGGCGGCGGCGGCGGCGGCGACGGCGGCGGCGGCGGCGGCGGCGGGGGGCCCCGCGGCGGGCCCGAGGGCGGCGGCGGGCGGCAGTCGCGGCGGCGGCGTGGCGGTGCCTTCGCGCCCGGCCGCGCGTCCGCGTCGGGCTCCTCCGCGTCGGGCGGCGGCTCGGCGGGGTGCGTCGGCTTCAGCGGGAGCTTCATCCTCAGCATCCTCGGCTAGGGCGGCGCGGACATGCGAGCGGGGGCGGGCGGGCGGGAGGAGCCGCGCGGCGGGGCGGGGGCCGGGGCGGCGGCGGCGGAGGCCGGGGCGGCGGCGCGGCCGTCAGGAGCGGGGCCGCTCCATGCCGCTCGGGGAGGGCCGGGAGTGGGTCTCGGCCGGCGAGGGGGGCGGCGACCGGCCGGCGGGGTCGCTGGCGTCGTTGTGCCGGACCAGAGGCGGGGCGTGCCCGCAGCGGCTCCTCCCCGCTGGGCGCCGCGCCGGTTCTGGGAGCCCGGGTGCGGGTGGGAGCGAGCGAGCGAGCGAGCGTGTCCTCCTTCCGCCTCCCAGTCCCCGTCGTCCGCACTGGGCTGGGGCGGCGGCGCCAGAGCGGTTCCCTCGCGAGCCCCTGCGGACCCAGCGGCTGTGCTGGGCGGAGACGCTGGCGGGCTCCGCGCACCGCGCCTCAGCCAATCAGCGCACCAGGACGACGGTGACGTAAATCTCTCCGCCCTGGGGCCCGCCTCCCTCCGAGAAACCACGCCCAACCGCTGCTAGAGCACCGCCCTCCTGCGGCTTCCGAGCGGTCCTAAAGTCCGGCGTCTGGAAGCAGCGGTGGACGTGGGGTGGGACCCAGGGGCGGCTGCGAGGTGAGCCAGCCGGGACGCGGGTCCATGCGGGGCCCACGTGAGAAAGGGAAGTGGACGACTTGGGTTAGTTGTTTTCCCTCCGCGAGGGCCCCGCCGCGCTTTGCAGACCGCGTAGAGCTCGGCCACCTCCGCCAGCCGCACGGGATCCCTAGGTCTGGCGTCCCGACGCGTCCGGGAGGGGTCGTGCGCACCCCGGAATGACCCCGTCCAAAGCCTCGCCCCTGGTGGACTTCGTGAAATCCCCGCTGTGTAACACTTTGCCAGGGTCCCTCATGCGGACGCCGTGACGCCAGTCGGGGCCGGGGTCGGTGGCTGCGCGGCCTGCTGGGGCCGGCGGCGGGGAGGGGTGGGGGGCTGCAGGGGTGGCGCCTCTGACCCGACGAGCTCTGGCCTGTGTGGAAGTCATGTCCCCCAGTTTAGGGAAAGACCCCCCACACCCCCCAAGAAATGCCCATCATTTAGGAATCATCTGAATCACGTATTTGCTCAGAAACTTGTGGGCTCCTCACGTGGGAGCATGTTGGATCCTAGTGCCAGAGTAAATTTCCTGAGACGCCCAACAATTTAAGTTGCCACCTTGATTGGACATAAACTTTTCAAGCCTGGTTAGGTTGGTTTGTTTTTGTTTTTGGTCCGGAACTCTGGGCCTGGGCGCTGTCCCTCAGCTCTTCAGCTCAAGGCTAGCGCTCTACCACTTGAGCCACAGCACCACTTCCGGTTTTTCAGTGGTTTATTGGAGATAAGAGTCTCACGGACTTTCCTGCCCGAGCTGGCTTTGAACCGTGATCCTCAGATCTCAGCCTCCTGAGTAGCTAGGTTTACAGGCGTGAGCCACCAGCGTCCAGCCTGGTTACGTTTTTTTTGTTTTATTTTTTTTTTAATTGTGAAAATACTGTACAGAGGGGTTACAATTACATGGGCAAGATAATGAGTACATTTCTTATCAAGCATTACGTTTTTAAGGCTTAAAGAACAACAGAAATGCCTCTCTCCCTTTTTTTTTTTTTACTGATTTAATCCAAAGTTTTAAACCTATTTTGGGGTTGTTGTTGTTTGTTTTTGAGGGTTAATAAAAAAAGGCAGGTGTTTTTTTTTTTAGCTTGAAGAGAAAGATCTTTAATGCCTTAAATGTCATACTCAAGAAGCTGTACAAAACAGTACAAAGATGAACTGAATCCTAAATCAGCTTTGGTGATAAAGTTGGGAACTGTAAAATTACTTTCAAGATTGTATGTTGGCAAAACATATGATGACAATCCACTCTTATTATTTGATATTTCCTTAGATTCTTCGAGTATAATCTAAACAAATGAGACAAAGACTCCATGAGGACTTGTATGGAAGGCCCTCCCTTCTTTGTGAGCACTGAAAGAGCTTGATATTAGGGCCTCACACTCTCTAGAGTTTTTCTGCTTATAATTGGAGTATACTACTTAAACCATGCCTCCTGAGTGGCTTTTTTTTTTGGCTGATTAGTTGGAGTCTCTCAGCTAGAGATTCTAGCTAAGATTACAGGTGTGAGCCAATGGTTCCTGGCTCTTGGTTTTTTGTGTTTTTTTTCTCCTCCTTTTGCTGTTAACTTCAACTACCCTGGCATCTACTGCTACTATTTTATTATTTCCTGATCTCACATTCCTAAAGCCTTGGATGGAATGCTGTAAGCACTAATTATAATGCTAGTTAATGCACAGGCCTTGGGTAGTGAATAAATGTGTTAACTTCCTATTTGACTTTTACATGTGACTCAGGCAAAGATTTTTACATTTTCTTTGGCAACAATAAGTCATTTAGTTTTTTCCTTATTGTTTGTTTTGGGTGGTAATGGGAGTTGAACTCAATCTCCCATAAGTTTGGTTCTGTTTCTCAGAAAGATTCTTAGGGACCACATTGACCAAGCTGTCCAAGTTTTTGCTGAACTTGAAGAAGCATGGTGCATTGAAATTTTTGAAGTAACAGTAAAATCTACCAATCTTTAGAGACTGTCCAGAAATAAACTTGATATAATGCAGTTTGGTTTGGAAAACTACTAGGCTACCGGTTTATGATAGGAACTGAATGACTCTAGGCACTTACCCATGGCAGAGGTCCTTCACTAAGCTGCGTAGTTCTGAAAGACCTCTCCTGGGCAAACAGACCTTTGGCTCAACTGTTCAAAACAGTAAGGGCTGTCAAGAGGTTCATGAAGAAGTCAACACTGACTTCTGCCATGGAAATGAGGAATGGAAGGTTGGTCTGATAGAAAAATAACATTCCCATTGCCTTAGTGTTCTCTGGAATTGAATTTGCTGAATCCATGAATTTTTTTTTTATTTTATTTATTTTTTTGCTGGTCCTAGGGCTTGAACTCAGGGCCTGGGCACTGTCCCTGAGCTTCTTTGTGCTCTGCCACTTGAGCCACAGAGCCACTTCTGGCCTTTTCTGAATGGCTTATTGGAAATAAGAGTTTCATGGACTTTCTTGCCAGGACTAACATCAAACCATCATCCTGGAATCTCAAGTTCCTGAGTAGCTGGGATTACAGGCTGAGCCCCTACCACCCAGTTATGAATTTCTTAGACTAAATGGTTACATAAATTTATTGGTGAGCTGTTTATTCTCCCCCACCATCTCTTATTCTTTTACCTTCATAAAACTATCTTGACTTTTGTTCCCCTTATCTAGTCTTCTCCCAGACACCTTGTATGAATCCAGTAATATCTTTGCTAGAGATATAAATAGATCTTGATCGGTAAACCAATCAAAACATCCATACTGTTGCCAAATGATTCATGCTGGAACATGTCAAAACGTTAGGCAAGGCAATTCGAAGTGGGTTCTCACTGGCCAAATCTGACAAAAATCAAAAGAGAAAAGATATATTACTGAGACTCTTAGAAAGGGGGTGGGGTGGGGATAGTGCTAGGAAAGCTTTTTATAGAAGGATGCAAAAAAAATGTAGAAATATCCCTTTATCACCACCAAACCTAACAGTTGGTTCAGGCATTTTCACCATTAGGTGCAGTTGTTGGAAAAGGAAAAAATTACATGTTCCCAAAGAATATACCACACCCCCCCCAAAAAAAAGATGAGATAGGGTATTCTTAAATGGATAAATCTTTTGGATGCTATCATAATTAGTATCATAATTAGTACCACCAAAAATGAAGCAGTCTAATACTGAATTCTTCCCTGTGTCATGAATAACATTGGGAATGACACCATTTACAATATTCTTGCCAAGATAGTTAAGTTTAAGTATGAAGAAATAAGACAAATCTGGATTGTGAGGTACTGTATGAAATGACTGAGCTGAATGTTCAAAATACCAATGCCATGAAAGTAAACATAAGCAGGAGATTGCTCTAGATTAAAGGAAACTAAGGAGACAGAACATTAAAGTTTGATTCATGATCCGCCTGACTCTTGGATTTTAAAACACTCATAAGACATTTTGATTCTACACTCCTTATTAGACATTGTGTCAATGCTTTCTTTTTTTTTAATTTTATTTTATTTTATTTGAGAGCATACTGTATGCTAACTTTCTTGGGTGAAGTAAAGACACTGTGATTCTGTTGGGGAAAGTCCTTGTTTTCAAAAGATACTTGAAGCATTGAAAGTTGCAGTTTCATGGTATGGTATCTACATATTATTTGTAGCTCAGAAAATAATAAATAGATGCCAGGTGCTGGTGGCTCACACCTGTAATCCTAGCTACTCAGGAGACTGAGATCTGAGGATCATGGTTCAAAGCCAACCCAGGCAGGAACGTCCGTGAGACTCATCTCCAATTAACCACCAGAAAACAGGAAGTGGTGCTGTGGCTCAAGTGGTAGAGAGCTCGCCTTGAGCTGAAGAGCTGAGGGACAGCACCCAGGCCCAGAGTTCAAGCCCCACGACCGACAAAAAAAAAGAAAAAGAAAAGAAAATATTAAGTAGAAATATAAAGTAAATGTGGTAAAATATTAGCGATAGGTATATCTAGGTGAATGGGCAAACATTGTACTGTTTTATGCATCCAGAATATGAACAAAATCACAATATGTAGTCATGGTGATGTGCTGCATATATAGTGGTGGTCCATTTGATTACACCACTCTATTGGTGTTAGGGCTACCATAATGTGATAGTGCAACACATTCCTCATTGTTCGTCATGATGCTGGCCTAACAAACCTACTCTGCTGGCAGTTGGATGAAAGAATAACACAATACTTGAGAAAGAAAATAACTGTCTCTGGTTTATGTGTTTAGTATACTATGTTATCATTAATTTGACATGTCCTTTATACTACAATAAAAAAATATTCATAAACCAGGAAGCTGTGGTGCACCCTTGCTATATCTCATACCTGTTGTTTTATCACGTGTTTTGATTATATTCAG